GAACACCAAACAACCTGGCCCTGTGCCCGAGTTCCCAAACAGCACGATCCCAGCCTAACAGTAAGCAACAACCGGCCCTCTAACCCGTCGACCTCCCAAAACCTCAGAAGCCCCGGAGAGCCATGGTGCGCATACATCAGAAGCGTCAACTTGCAGTGCCTGTCCGCCAGGACTCCCCACACCTCAGACGCTTGCAGTCGGGGCAGTCTGCCGATGCCACATTCGTGAAATGCGCTTCGCAAGCCTACGATTTTCGTCGAGCCTGCATACCACAAATCCACAGCTAACCGATCCAAGATGCGAGGACAGCGAAGCTGTGACACAAAGCTTCAATGAAAACGATGCCGCCCAAGGACACCTGACAACAACACGATGAGCAAGAGCTCCAACAAGACATGAAAATAAGGACCATTTCTGCAAGGAACTTCATTGTGGGTCCTGTGGTGTCAAGACGTTAGCGTAGACTATCACTCAATGGCCGCAGATCAGGACAATGGAAAACATGCGAACTTTCAATCATAAGCTTGTCTCGGCAAACCTTATGGCACAGCGAATAGCAGCAGCTGTTCGCTGCGTAACTGTGGTATTCATCGCGCTGAGACCAAAATACAGTGCCCCCGCGACGGCCCGTCGGCCTCGCATCTACTGCCATGTGACTCATCCTGAATCCTGCTGTTTCCGCGTGTTTCTGCGAGCAGGCTCCCAATGCTCGCTACGAGAAGCGCCATTCCTGTGACAGACACTGTCTTTTTCCTCTGATCAGCAGAAATGGAGTAAGAACTTGTGGCATTAAGGAGGCAATCGAAGCTATCCGAACACGCACTACGAGGCCAACAACGAAAGAAAACGACCGAATTTCGTCGAAGCTCATGGCAAAGCCTGAAAGAGAAGAATGCAGACCAAACCAAGAAGAAAAGCAAAACCTGAACCGGAAGCCGCGAGCCAAACCTTTTTGCCAGGCAGCCGGTGTTGCTCCTGTTAGACCTTCCTCCAGCGCCTGGCCAAGCAGTGCTCAATCCATCGCGGCAGAAGGGCTTATGGGCATTCGTTTCACGAAGGGGTGCTACAGCCACTTCGAGATGGGTCTGGAAAACACGTGCGTTAGTAGATATGATTGTAGGTGCGTACACGAGTCCGTATGTGCGTATATATGTACGTATGAGTATGTACTAACCTACTTATGTACTACGGTTGATGATATAAATCCTGCATTACCCATAATAAGGAATATACCATAATTCCCATAGTTTAGGGTCCTTAATGTAATGCAGGATTTACATCATCAACCGTAGTGGTGCTTCATGTCTATTTGGGTCGCCAGAATGGGCCAAAGGAAGATGTGGCACAAAGGGCTCAGGAAGATTCGCCCACGCACTGCATGCCGTCCTTAGTCCTTTTTTCATTAGACCGTCTCGCGTTGTTGCTCTATGTTGCTGTTCCTGTCTGTCGTGTTGCCGGGGCTAGCTCTTTAGGCCTTGCGCCGGAGGGGCTGCCTTTTGGTTAGGCCAGGCTCGTGCCTCGGTCGATCCTCCACTCAACTTCACTCAACTCAACTACTTGTGTACATGCATATGTACATGTGTATGTACATGCGTATGTATGTATGTATGTATGTATGTATGTATGTATGTATGTATGTATGTATGTATGTATGTGTGTGTGTGTATGCGTGCATGCGTGCATTCATGCATGCATGCATGCATGCATGCATGCATGCATGGATGCATGGATGAATGTGTGTATATATATATATATGTGTAAAAATATTGCAAAAACTATATCTGGTATACGTGTTGTTAGATATGATACAGGGAAATTACGTGCATGAACACACAGTCACGCACAGAGTTCTGCATCAAAGTAAATTTACTGCTAAATGTGCCGAGCTCAACACACAGAGCCGACAGCACTACAACCTTCACTCCCAGGGCACCTTGAAAATGCCCGGAAGCATGGCGCCGTCGGCTGCGTGGAGTAGAAATACAACGGCCAAGAGGCCCTGCGTCGCGCCACAGGGGGAATGCGGGCAAGATCGTGACTCAAAGTACGAAGGTGTTGGCATGTTCGTGAACGCGTAACTCTCATGAGTGAGCTCATTCCAGGCTTGGCGGAACCCAAACAGCAAGGTCCAGAGATTGTGGGAATACTTAGCCCTGCATGTGAGGCGTTGTGATCTCAGTGGTACCCAGGCGGCCTCAAGCCCTTAATGCTAAAGCTCAGACAGCGCCTGCAGCAGCTGAAAATTGGAGAGACCCAGCCGCGCTACAAGTCGGAGGGAAGTGCGACCAGCGATAAGCAACGGCATTGAGTCCTCTGCCCTGAGCTGCTCTGATTTGCTCCAAACTGGATTTGAATCTGTTGTGCTTCTCTGAACCGTGCCTAGTTTTCCATGCATATGCATAACCAACAGGTACCAACAGGTCATGCTCACACACGGGGTCTTGCAGCACGCCTCTTAGTTCGATCCACACCAAACCTACGGGATGCTTAGATTTGCCGAGTCAAAGTCCCAGTCGATGTCGCCGGCTGCGACGTGCTGTTGCAACAGCTTCGTGTTCACATGTCTGTATGCGGTGCATAGCACGCCAAGCCGTGAGGCACCTGTGCATGTGTCTCAAGTAGTGTACAAGGATACGGTACTAAGTACATGGGCGAGTGGGAACACATGAAGCTGCGCATTGCCCATGTGTATGCGGTTTTGCTTTTGTACTTCCTTACCTATCTGCATAGACGGATGAGGTGACCTCATCCAGGTCAACCTGCTCTTGCGAAAGAAAGATTTGGCTGAGGGGGTTATGTCCCTGCCGTCGGTCTGAAAATGTTTTCACACATATGATATATCACATGTAATAGTATACAATATAGCATAGTGTAGAAGAATATAGCACAGTAAAGGTAATATAGTAGAGTATGACAGAGTATTACAACATAGCATAATGTACTACAATATGCTTTTGTGCAATAAAATGTAACATAATGAAATACAATACTACATAGCACAACATAAGAAATAATGCAATAGCACGACATACCATAACATAGCAGTACAACATAACATAACATAACATGACATAACATAACGCAACATAACATAACATAACATACCACAACATAGCACAATTTAGCACTGTGCTGTTAAAAAACAAAACATTTGTGACAACGTAAGATCATGAAATACAACACATGAGACAATATATTACGTATAGTGCAACCGAATATATTAAAACATAAGATAGCATGTTCTAATATGTTAGTACAACTACTAAATAACATCATATGATATAGTATGTATGACATAGTGACATAGTGGAATATGAACATAGTGCAAACATGGCATTACATTATGTGGTATTCCATAACCAGCCTTAATTTAATATGATATAACAAAACTTTACATAATACCTTTTTTACACTGAATATTACATAATATATAATACGTAATGCAGAACTTATACAATATGTAACATATAATGAATAATAATAATAATAATAATAATAATAATATGCAATAGGTTTCGTTACTTTTGCTGCAGTTGAGGTGCATTCTCTCCCTAGAGATGCGACAGACAGTACAGATATTACCGATGCGGACATGGGTCTCTCCAGAAGAGGGGCAACTTCAACAAGGTCTGTTCGACCGGTATGTCGAGTGCAAATCACACATGAACAACATTGCACAACGTACCCATCACCAAGAATTTGAAGACAGATTGAATGAAGAGGCAGTATGTCGATGTATGAACCGCTTCCGTCAAGCAGCCTACTCTCAAACCGAAGATACCTGTGGGGTCTCGCCGGAACTGCGCAGGCCGGATCCCAAGCACAAAACACTTAAATGTACGCCCTCGTTCTCTGATGCTTTGTTGCCAAATTGCCCGACTACGCAAGCTAAAGGCTCCATCGTCGAAGCAGTGTCCAAAAACAGTTTCAGAACATGAACGAGTCATCATTGAAGCTTGGTGGCCGGATCGGCCCACGCTGCCGCTCCATGACGATCGCCTCGGGTGTATATGGTGTACACACAGGAGATGTGGCCAGAACGCGACCCGGCATGGCCTTCGAAGGGCTCACTTCGACGTCAACTGAAGCCAATCTCTGGTCTGGGGCCCCGACGAGGGTCTTCGCGGACGTGCAAATGTAAGGTGCTTTCACTACCAGAAGGAGTCGGTGCTAAGCCAAGGGTTGAGGCAAGGCCTTGGTTTTTGCTTAGGGGATTCATGCTTGAGCTCTAAGTCCAGGTAACATGTGTGAGTGTATGTGTATATATATATATATATATGTTGACTTTAATGAGTGTGTAAATGTCACTCATGGATCATATGTAACCCTGAGATGCTTCGAAATGCTTGTTGACTCACGAAGGCCTCTCTGCTGTAAGGCCGCTAACCTCACAAAGCAAGTAACAAAATCTAGCCTAGGCCCCATGTTCCGCACACCCCAAACCTAAGAGGTTTAAGGAAGGGGTGTGGCTATCGCACCATCTTGGTGCTTGAGCCAAATGCAACGACCGCAGTGGAAGGTCAGACATGTTGGGGCATATCGGCAGAGTTGTGAACTTGGGAACGGCACAGAAAGAACCCAAATCCTCGGTCCACCCTCTGCCTCTCGGACGGGACAAGCCTATGAAAAAATGAGGTGACGGTCTCACTCCTGTGAACAGCTAGCTGCCACGCATACTTGATTCTCAAGCGTGCCAATGGACTGTGGTTGCTGTGCACCCGAATAGGTCTGGAACCCTGCAAGGGCTCTCGCCAATGCAGTGGCGGCCAGTGCATGCAGCCATGCAGGGCAGGCCTGGATGGTCCAGAACAACCACATCGAGGATTGCAACAGTTGGAGGTCTACCCAGAGCGGCCAGAATCCGGCAGCACCGGAAGGTAACAGTCAGAGCTTTCCAGTCCTCCACCGTTTCGCAACAAGCTCTTCATCTCCCAAGCCTACGTTCGACGCCCGAAAGGCCGCGAAACATGTGAGAGAAACTAGAAGTCTGGGGCTCGCACCTGACCACACCTGCAGGAAAGACTCAAACTGTTGCGACGTCTGTATGGCATCGACCTTCCGGCCATGCTCCCCACCTCGCTGCAGCTGCAGACAAGCGGACTGCTGCCCGACCTGAGTTGGAGAGAGGAGGCAAGAAGAAGCGATCGAGCGTGCAACCGTTCCGTTGAAAACTGTAGATGTGGATCAGAGAGTTGCTGGACCCCCTGTTCATCGTTTCCGGGCACCCTTAAGCCTGAAACCATGATAGCCTTACATAACAAACCGGAACTCTGAGGTACTGCTCGCTGATATCGCAAATCGAGCGCCAGGTAATTCTTGGCTCCAGGCACCATTTCGGAGCTCTGAAGACTCCTGTCGGTCTCACTGGCTCTCTCCGGCTCTCTCCTCTGTCTCTTTGCATATCCAACTGTTTTGGAAGCCCAGGTCAGCTGCTTAGCAATGGCCTCGGGCGTTTACATGAAACATTCGGCCACTCTGCGCTGTGGCCTCTTCTTCGCCGGCTGGCTCGCCGAGGTGTGGGCGCCAAAGCCCCCTAGAAAACGGTTTCAGGCAGCTAAAACGCTGGCTCAACATGCATGTTATTGTGTGGACAGCCTGTATGGTTACCCACCTGCCTGCCTGTCTCTAGTTCTCCCTCTGTCCGTTCGTTCGCTCATCTCGTCCTATTCAGCTTGTCCGGCCTTCCATCTCTGGTTGCTGCACAGGCTTACATACCTACTTGCTTAGCCATGGCCCCATGCCTCGTGGCAAGTTAGTTGTTGAATTAGTTGTTGAAGCATATCTACTACTCAGACGTGCTCGATTGTGCTTTGTCAAAGCATTTAGTCGAACCTGTGCGCTGCTTTGATCCAACTAAGTTAGAGAGAAAGATGGTACATAGTTAGATGCAGAGCTAGATGGAGAGAAAGATAGAAACCCAAAAGCCGAATCCACCCGCCCACCAACCCACTGGCATGCGGGAGGGTATCGAAGAAGCGCCAAACCCCAACCCACCCACCCAACCAAAAAAAGGTCCATCCATCCATCCATCCATTCATATATCTAATACTTGATCAGATCGTGGTCGAATACTCTGGTCGTTGGTCAGATGCCGGCATCACCGTCGAACAACCGTCGAATCTGTAAAGGGGAGGGGCCTCTAGGACTTGGGAGCTAGGATGCGAATGCGACGGCCTCGTCAGAGTCGGTGCGGTCCGCAGGCGTCGGAGCAGTCGAAGCCCTGCAGCACAGTATGAACGAGCAACCCAAAACCTTTGGGAGAAACTGACCAAGATGAACAGTTTCTCTTTGCCGCAAAATCCTGGCATCACCAGGTAAGTCAGCAGCGGTTTGGCTGGCAGCTGACGGCTATCGCACGATAACTTTAGATGCACTCCGCCCCCTGAGGCCGATGCAGCGTGACCCGCGGCAACTCCGGCTGCACAAGCTCCAGTCGCCTCGTCGCAGCCTTCCCAACTAACAAGCAAATGCAGACAAACACCAGCTTTACCCGCCGACCCTGGCGGCGTGATGGGTCTCGATTCCGGGGGGGTACCTCAGGCCCCCAGGCTATCCAGCAAGCACATTTCAGGGACATAGCGGGGCGGGCTTGGCCAAAATCACGATTTTTGGGCTTGCTCCTCCTCGAGATCCCCCCCCCTCCCCCCCCCTTCCCCACCCCCCCTTCCCCCCGCCCCCTCCCTCCTTCCCCCGTCCCCCCCTCCCCCCCCTTCCCCTCCCGCTCCGTCCCCTCCCGCCAAAACCTGCCACAGAAACCTAAACGCTAAACCCTGCACCAGAAACCTTAAAAAGCCCTAAAACCCGAAACGCGCTGCTGGCTGATTGTGCCTACCCTGTTCCTTGTCCGCGTTTGAACCGTTTTGGTTTTGGTGTTGCGGGCTACGGTTCATATAGGGCCAAGTGTAGGGTTTAGGGTTTAGGATTTTTTTCTCGTTGTTCCCGGCTTAACATGTTCCTACTGGACCG